ATTGGTCTCTTTATTTTCTTGACGTACCGGAAGGTACCCAAGGAGATCTCTATGATCATTACTATATTCATATAGAAAAGATGCAACAAAGTGTTAGGATCATTGTGCAATATATTAATCAAATGCCTAGTGGCATGATCAAAGTCGATGATTGTAAACTATGGACTACATCGCGACGTCGATTGAAACTATACTTGAAATTGTGCACTGTGAAACATAGATCATTGTCGTTCTTAACATAGACTCAAGTTAAACTCTATCTTAGAACCTTGTGGGGTTAGGAGTTAAGTTTAATTCGAACTTGAACTCGAGTCTCGCAGATATTAGGTCTACTTTTAAGCCCCGCTTGGTGGAGATTAAAATTAGATTTTTAGTAGATTTTGATAAAAGTTTTTGAAATGTGTGGTTAAAATATTGTGTGACCAATAAAATAAGTAGTTAATATTGATTTTTTGACTTAGAGTAAAATCTGATTTAAATCAATACCAAACATGGGCTTGTTCTTTCTCTTTCCTCATTCTAAAAAAGGGAAAAAACGCTCATAAAAATTCTGGTTGATTGGCCCTCCATTCATCTAATTGGAGGTGTGGAGTAATTCGAATTGACGTGAATCTCTATGATCATGAATTGACGTAGTAACTGTAGAATATATAGTACCTCACATTGAGATTCTCAAATGATAACAAATTTATTTTTAAAATAAAATTCAAATCTATATTAGCGGGAAACTTACAATGTATGTTTGGATGTAAGAGAAATTTAAAAAATAATGAATTGAACATATTTATCTACATATCCTCGTCAATTACTGATTAAAATCTAAATTTTAATTTAAGTCAAATTCTACAATTTATTTCAACTATATATTTTATAAGTCTCACAATTTTTCAATCGCAAATTTCATCAATTTCTATCAAAATTTACTGAAAATATAATTTTAATTCCCACCAAACAGGGGCTAAGACACTATTTTTTAATGGAAAGTTTCCTTGCGAAAAATCAACGAAACCATTTCTTGTTTCACAATTTGATTCCAAAATGTCCTCCTAATTGAAATTCAAAAATCAAAATCCAAACATTCATCATCAAACCACAGTAATGGTGGGCGTTCCGAACGTTTAAATAATTAAATAAATTGCATTCTTCAATAACATTCTATTGTCATCTAGCACAATAAAAACATTAAAACATATTACACAACCTGGCATAAACAAGATGCAGTGATGATCAACTAAGTCTACGATGAAGTACAAAACTGCAGTATCATATATTATTCAGCACATGTAGCTCGTGAAGGAGTTAGAACTTTCAGTAAATATGTGATACGACAAGTCGATTTGAAAATTTGTAGGGTCTCTTTTGAAATCAAGATGAAATGTAGCGTAACAAAAGACTTTTTCATTAGCCCTATTTGACCCTCATTTTTAAACCTTTTTTTTCTCAAACTTATTTTTAATCGCATATGTCATGTGACCTACAACTTTTTATCAATTTTTCAGCCATGCAATTCATTAATTTTTATCAAAATCTATTAAAAATTTGAATTTTAGCTATGCCAAACAGGGACATAGAATATATTGTGAGACATTAGCTTGAAGATTTGTGAAGAAGTTTCTTTGGAATATTGAGAATTAGAAACTCTGATTCCATATCACTAAAAGCAATAAAATTGCAGTAAGAAAAGTAAAGACACAAGAGAACACGCAAGATAGAGAGGTTCCCTCAATATAAGACAACTCCCTCGTCGGCACTGTAATAATTCACTATAATGAAAATAAACATGCAAGAGAAAATCACACACCTTATTTTCACTAACATGTCTTTCTTTTGATGATTATAAGACAAATTGAGATAAAAACAGATAACACAATGTAAAATTTCTAAACTATTCTTAATGAAATTTTGATATGAATGTTCCGTCATCAGGATGGGGATTCTTGCCCTTTCCAACCCCTATGATGATCTTACATAGAAGTTCAATCCGCGTACGAAATGTATACAAAGACAATAATTAGACTACATAACTTAACAATTTTTCACTTGGAGACTAATTCACTATTAATGGCTCATATGCAGTGGCCAAAACTCCTCAATCTTCAAAACAGCAGTCCAACTGAAGTTGTACACATCTCGATCAAAATAGTCTTTGTCAACATGTCATAGAATTCTTACTCCCTGGAATTTGCTCAAGTGTCAAGATTCCATAATCCAAAACCAATTTAATGAAGTGATAATAAATTTATATATGCTTCATCCTTGCATGATAAACATAATACTAACTAAATAGCTCTCTTATTGTCACAAATAAAAACAATTCCCATTCTCATAACTCAATTCTTCCAATAAAGACTACAAACATATCATCTCTTTGCTAGCTTCGGTCACATCAACATATTTACTGCCTCAATAATGGAAAGAACAACTATCTTCTACAGTTTAGACATCTAACTAACTATTGTACTAGCTAAAGTATGTATATGTATATAGTAGTACTCTTCCTACCATCAATTTTCCCTTAGTCAGTGTCTATATAGCCCGTGTAATCATAAGCTTGGTTTTCTGAAACATAGTTGAATCTACTTTATTGCTACCTACTGCAGTTTACTCGAATGCTCATATATTTACTCACAATTTTTACTGCACGTGCTATGTCCGATCTCATACACACTGTGACATACATAAGACTTCCAATAATAAAGGCATAAGTTACCTTGACTATGTAAGCCTGCTCCTGCTCTGTATAGGGTGGCTGCTAATTGAATAAGCAGCCTAAAGTGACTAGCTAAAGGAGCATTCACTGATTTTGTATCATCCATCCTGAACCTACTTAACACCATCTTCACGTACTCTTATAATAATTTTATAATGTCAATATCCCTATTAATTCTCATTTCAAGAAATAGTTTTGCAACACATAAATCCTTCATTACAAAACCCAAATCCTTCGTTGCAAACTCTTTGGATAACTTATTTTTTCAACTTGTCTATTTCTTGTTTACAAGCACTTGCAATCAACATATCATCAACATATTGCAATATGATAAATATAGGAGTCACCGTGGTTCTTCACATAACAACAACGATCAACCGGCACTTTATGAAGCCACTGCTATCTATAAAACTATCAAACTTCTCATACCACAATCTCAAAACTTGTTTAACACCATACAAACTCTTTAAGGTCTGTACACCATTTTTTCCTTTCCTTGTACTTTAAAACCTCATGGCTACCATCATATAATTTTCTTTCTCAAAATCACCATGACGAAATATTATCTTTACCTCCAATTGCTCTAGATTCAAGTCTTCCTTTACCAGTAGTCCAAGTACTACTCTAATTGTGGTTAATTTTTCCACATGAGAAAAAAATTTACTATAGTCAATGTCTTCTTTCTGTGAAAATCTTTTTACAGCCTGTCTTCTTGCTTGCAAAGCCTTATTTCTTNTACAGCCTGTCTTCTTGCTTGCAAAGCCTTATTTCTTTTTGAGAACTCTGACAATTGCTATATCTGATTGAACAATAACGAGTCCATCTTATTCCTTATAGCCAACTCCCGCTTGATGAATTCATCAACATAAATAGTTTCATTATGACTTTCTGGTTCATCTCTATCAATCAATAGAATATAACCACATTGGGAAGTATCTCTGTATAGGTCGAATTATTGTACTAGATCGTCTAAGTTGAGCCACATGGTGGCTATATTTTTTCGATCTTCACCATTAGCATTCTCGAACTCAATCATAGAAATGTCTTTTAACACGATCATCTAAGGCTTCTTAATTGGAGGAGTTGTGCTTTGAGGTGATGAATATGACTTTAACCTAGCGTGCTACAAGCATGAGATTGTATGCTAGTTTACAAAAGATTTTTAAGTTGAGACTGTCAGCAGTGCAACTTACTTTATCAACAAAGGTCCTTCAATATCATTGAACTATAGAATACCAGAGGTTTGAAGCATTTAAGTATTAAAACCTTTCACACTTAAAAGTGTTGGTTGTGTTTCATATATTCCTATTGATTCTAGTGCGAAAAGCAAGCTTAATGCTAAATCCTAAAAGTGTTTCTTCTGTGGTGATATCGAGTTTGTTTAAAGTTTCTAGGATTATCAAACTTAGAAGATTATCAAAAATAAGGATGTGATCTTCAAAAAAAAGTGTCTTGTATAATTGTTCCTGAAATGGTCTTCCTTTTCTTGATTCCATTTTTAGAATAATATTTCTTGAAATCATCATCCACATATTCTCTCCCATTATCTGACTACAAACACTTCACTTCAAATTTGTTTCATTTTCAATCATCGTTTTTCATAATCTTGAAAGACTTAAAGATATCAAATTTATTCTTCAGGAAACAAATACGTACTTTCATGCTTGAGTCATCAATAAATATCACATAAAAATTGGAACCTCAAAGGACATGCATAACGTATAGGACAATGGCAGCAACAAAACAGAAAGTAACATTTAAAAGTCCTCAAACATCCGTATGAATCAACTCGAATATTGTAACTTTTACTCCAAGGGAAGTAACAATTGAATATCCCCAAATGCTACATGTACCACTTGGTTTAAAGTTTTTATACGTGGCAAAATCTCACACCATCCGTGAACAAAAAAAAAATAATAATAATAAATTAATTAATTAATCCAGCCACTGAAATGTTGTGACCTCAGCATATGTAAAAGTAGAAAAATTGATATTACATAGCTTCGGCTTATTGCTCCCCAAAATTGGAGGATTAATCATCCGTTTCAATATAAATTGCTTGAGCAATATAAGGAAAGATTTGGTCCAAATCCAAATCAGACAATCTTATTCAACTAAATTACAATGCTAAAACATAGGATCGCATATTATTTTGGTCTAAAACATCAAGCCAATTACAAATTATCTTGGTGGAAATCAAAAGGAACGTACAATTACTAAAATTTTACAACTTTGTGAAACAGAGTAAACAAGCTCTATTTTTTCAGCATCTTCTTCAATGAGTGAAAGACTACAGCATGCAGTCTGCTTTCGATGGTAATCTTCTGAAGTAATTAAGTGGCACCGAAGGAACTTTTTTACGAAATCTAGGGTGTCTTAACACATAGAATCCTGCGAGAAGGGCCACCACTTGGAAAGGCGTAACATATAGAGCAATGGCAGCAACAAAACAGAAAGTCACAAACAAAGCTGTAGCTCTCGGGTCTCGCCAGTTCAGCAGAGACTGCAGCCTCTCCCCTTGCGTTGCCATGTCGCCGACCACTGTCTGAATTCGTCCTGCAATGGTTCTCAAACGGTCATACCTCATCTTTACAATATCCGAGGCACTCGAAGTTGGAAATGAATCGAATTCCTCATCTAGTTCGTCTGGATGAGCATTATCAGCACAAGAGAGGCGAGTATCCATGTGGGGAGGATGTCTAGGCCTCCATCTATAGTACCAAACTCCAATCAAGAATAAGTAAAGGAAAATAGTTGGTAGAATAAGTTCGGGATACAAAACCAATATTAAAAACAGAATGTGAATTAAGACGGTCGTAATGGGGTTCTTCCATTTGCATATTTGATCTAACCATTTCCCAACAGCAATTAACCCACTTAAAGCCGCCATGATTCTGAAAAAATTAGCTTTACTTTTTCTCATACTCCACACTTGCGCACCCAGATCTAGCATGTACCCTACCACCTCGTTCTTCAAAGGCGGCTCAGCACGACTCAGCTTCGCGCAAACAATATCAGTCGCCTGGTGCCGCAACTTGTTAAGTTGAAGCACAGTTAACGGGAGATGATAGTGCATCTTGGGCAACAATGGTAGTGAGTACATATGCATCATATTTATTAAGGATAAGCAAGTAAATCTCACAGCCAAATGAATTTCACCCATCTTCTTCACACCAGAAGGCTGTAAAACTAGAAGAGGATATGAATGTGTGTACACACGATCTGTTTCTAGAGTTGAAAGGCGAATCCTAACCTTTCCTATCCGTGATTCCTTTCCATCTCCACCTGGTAAATTTCCATTATCGAATACACCGATAGTTAAGACAGTGCAAGGATCATAAACTTCCCAAGTGTACTGCTCATTCCATTTGGGAGAAAGGCTGTTGATAATTGTCCTCGTCCTGACCCACTTCAGCCCATATTTAGCAACGCAATAAGCATCCGTCGTTGCCTGTCCATCAACCGTCTTCATCGGTGATAGCCCCTGAGCATTCAAAATACCCAACTCGAGAATCCCAATGCTCGACTTCCATAATTGTTTAGCTGTCGGTTTAAGGTCGCTGCTATAATGAGTCGATTCATCCAGAACATGGTAACCACCATCCAAAGAAATTCTCGCGTGAATCTTGCTGTTGAACTTCCCTTCCTTCTTTTCTCCTTCAACCAAAAGTTTTTCGAGATTATACCACCTTGTATTGACAGGTTTATTGTCCACCCTCTTGTCCACATTCTTTAAAGGAATGGCACATCTTCCAAGAATTTCAGTTTTGTTGGGCGCAACCCTGTCTTCCACACTCAAAATCAACGGTGCCTCAAATGGCTCTACAGCCACAAACATCAGATCCTCATTCCACGTTGGATTGATACTCCGACTTGTGGAAACTTGTGTCGTAAGCCCTTCACTTCCTAAAATGGCCTTCACATAAACTTCTGGAAACCTACTTTTATCACTTGGTTGCAAGTCTTGAGCTTCAATCACATTTACTCTCAGATACCACAGCTTAGGTGAGGGGTAGACCTTGGACCTTATACTCGAAAGGCTGTCCACACCACCAATTGCTACACCGTCCGAAAGCCATGCCTCGGGAAACGCTTCATCAGCTTGAGTACCCATCCAAACAGCCAACATGACCTCTCCTTTAACCTTATCACCCTTCCTATCCTCCAACCTAAACCACTGCGGGGCCAGAGGACTATCTGGGGGTACCCTTTTAGGAATCACATTCAAGTCAAACTGAACCCGACCCATAAAATCATCCTTGACAACATCCTTATCTTTCACTGTAACCTCAACCACCGAGGCCTGAAGCCGTTCCTTCGAGAAAGCAAACACCTGATTCCACTCCGGGTTTGACTTCTTTTCGAAATGACGGGTTGTACCCTTATAATTTCCAAGCTTAACCTCAACATAAGGGTCACAGCTACCCGTAACATCCTTTCCGGGCAAGTCTTTTGCCTTCACAACCCGGACATAAAGGTACTCCATTTGCTCAACGAGGTCATAGGTGCTCGTGAGCTTATCTCCGGTGAACTTCCCTCCACCGAGAAGCGGGTTGGTCTCCTTCAGCGAGAAATCTTCTTGGGGAGGTCTTTCCATTTTCTCTGCTTATCCTTTTCAATTCTTAAATCAGAATATCCCCAGAACCAAAATTCCAAGAATACGATAATAAATCTTTTAAAAACCCTTCACAGATCTCAGCAGAAATTCTTGATCAATTTACCGTTCAAGGGACATTTCACAACTGCCTAAATATCAGAAAATATTCACAGGCAAACAGAGTCTGAAATGGACAGTGGACAAACATATATGATATAACAAAGGTAGAATACTGAAACTACAAATACTTATACTTGAGGCGCGGAGCAAAACAAAAAACATAAGATTACTTTCAAATAGAGAACCTTACGAATGAGATTCTTTCTAACCCAGAACCCATTTAAAAGCTTCAGTTCTTAATGGTTAAAACCTGTAAAACAAATAAATATAAATGTTTACCTTCAAATTAATAAGCAAAAAAATAATTAAAATCTAAAGAAGGTGAGGAAACTATTAGGAAATTTGTTTACTCTGCCTAGAGGTTTGGTATTCACATAAAGAAAAAAAATATAATATCCTTAACCCCATAAAAATTTCATATTTTCAAGCTCATGCTTTTAAATTAAAGAAAAGCAAGGCAAACAGACATATAATAAACATATAAAAGCTTATATCCTACGAAAAAATACATACCGACATTAATCATCGGAAAGCACCAGCAATATCTTGCATGAAAAATCCAAAGGAAGAAATACGTACTATTTATTTTTATGTTATTACTGTGATTTATAGAAGAACTATTTGTGCGGGTATAAATAAAGATATAGACATGCAAATGAAAAATAGATCTATACACAAAGCAGAGAGATGGATATACATAGAGGATTCCCTGAAGCTGAGATGATAAGATTCTAAAAGGAGAAATAGATAATGGGGTTCAATTTTTTCTGCCTCAGGTCTAGAAAGAGAGAATAAAAGATGAAAGCACATAGCAAAAACAGAATTTTTCTCTTTTCCTACACTTTACTTTTAGAACGAGAAAGATGAATCGATGATGAGGGACCTCATGAATCCGCACTGGGAATCAAATGCTAAGAACGTATTGTGTTTACCGACTACCGTGCGTATGTATAGAATCTATAAATGGACTGTGAATATCTTTATGTCTCTTTCTCTTCCTTTTTTCTTGTCCCTGTAGCTTGAACGTAATTCGCATGGTGGCGCATGGGAGAACTACGACCGGGACGACGTCCGTCTGATCTCCGATCAAGCTAATTGTGAACACACTGACCCTCATTGCTGACGGGAATAAGAGAGGACTGGAGGCCTAAATTTAACTACTGTTTGTGGATTTCTGTCTGTGGATATATATATATATATACTAGTTGCAAGCAACGTGCAATGCACGTTTGCCTAGTTTATATTTAATAGTTTTGTTTAAAAATTAATTTGTTATTAATAAAGATATAATTTTTTTGGTTAATTAAATAATCAATGATGTAATGTTTATATAATTGATAAATAATTAGATGTGTGATTTTGATGTTGTGATATAAGTTGCTGAGATCGAAGAAAATAAGTAAAATCGACAAATTTGGAGAAATGGCTAAATTGTAAGGGATCCAAAGTTCGGGGATTAAAATGTAAATACTTAAAAGTTGTGCCGAACCTCACGATGAAGATTTGAGAGTGCTCGGAGTCAATTGGATACAGGAAGACGTCAATGGAATCAAATTTAGTCAAAAGATGATCACAAATCAATTTTCAATCGAAAAGTTATGCTCCGATGTTTTAGTCTCATATTGAGACCTATTTTTGGCATAGAAAGTTATCGAATTGGAGAATGATGTCTGAATCAAAGTTGTAGCCAGATGAGTTAGCTTTCCAACGCATTTTGAATCGCCTCAATCGGATATCGAAATACAAAATTATGATAAAAACACTGAAAGAAGGTGCA